CCTTTACCCCAGCAAAATTCTCCCTTTACTTTACTATAGCAAAATTTTGAAAGCGTATTTTGCAAGTGTTTCAGAGAGTTGACATTTACACACTGATTTGCCCGCTCAAAACCATTTTTTTTAATAAAATATACAACTACGTGTCGCTTACACGCTCATTTAGGCATCGTCAATCGCAGCTTTCCCGGAACTCATTTTTGATTATTGCAACGAAACTAAAGCTCCTATGAAGACATAATGACAATTAAAATACTTCATTTACAACTAATTTTCAGAAACACAACCAAAAACTCACAAATACCATGTGAATTTCCGAAAACGAGGCTTGTTTATATCTGTCTAAGCGGCTTTAAAAATTTTAATTGTTACTTATCGATCTTAAGATCGGTAAGTATATTGATAGGTATTTGTCTGTATGTATGTCTGTATGTATGTATGTATGTATGTATGTATGTATGTCTGTCTGTCTGTCTGTCTGTCTGTTAGATGCACGCGATATCTCACGAAGGCGTGGTTGAATCTGCTCCAAATTTTGCATGTGCATTCATCATATCTCGGACCAGAAGCCTATTGATTTTGGATGAATTATGTCGTATAATTAGCGAGTTATTAATTAATTAGTGATGAAGAGATCTGGATTTTCACAAATCGAGAGATTTTCGAGACGCGCTGAATGTGTGTGTGCGTATCAGATGCGCAAGTTTTCACGCTAGTGAGTCAGAGCGAAGGATACACGCCGCGAGATCGTATCTAGTTACTTATAATTACTCCTTAAAGTTTAAGCAATGTCCATATCCCTAAATCAGGTTCGGGGTTGCAGAATTCCTCACCAAAATATCGCTAGGCTGTGTTTGAATAGCCGTCGCAACCTGGGTTAGCGCCGTTGTATTTAACACAAAATATAGGATTGGTAAATACAGAAATAGGCTATTGGCTGGAAACTAATCGAAACAATCCAGTTCGGATTTGCAGAATTCTTCATAAAAGTATTTCCTCGAGTAGTATTTCGACGACATGGGGAGTTGGCTATTGTTTCCTACATTTCTGATATTGGCTGAAAACTAATCAAAACAATCCAGTTCGGGTTTGCAGAATTTTTCGAATCAAAACCGCAGTTTCTGTTTTGGGGGATCCCCTAACTTTCGATCGATAAGTCTTCGGTCTCTGACCGATATTCTCGTTTCGTCATCGTTGGCTTTTTGCTGATTAATCATTGTTACGGAATTAATGAAGAAAAACGTTGCTCGGGAAACATCTCTACAGTTGCCGTACTGGTACCGATGTGCGACATTTGTATCCATATTTGTGAGCCACTCATTGCTCTTGTATTCAATTAATAATGCATTTGTAGTTTCGTTTATTTATTGAAATAAACTTTCTGAAATGTCCGGACCCCGGTAATTTTGAAGTTTTGTAAACAGACCTATGGTGGAAATAGTTGAGTAGCCCTGGTGTATACCATCGGAACATAATCGGATTATGAATAACAAAGGATGCAGTTTTGTTAGTACTACTACTGCAGTTCTTCTGTTAGAAGTTTCGGATCTTTTGTAAAAAGAGCCCGCCACTATTGCAAAAAATGTGAGGTTCGGAAAAATACCCACGGCACGTTTTATAACAAAAATTAGTAATTATCCAGTTAGGCTTATGGCTGAAACTTTTAATTTCCAGCGCAATCTGCATTCCTCACCCCAACTGGATAATTACTAATTTTGGGCGTTGGCGGGGTGTTTTTTGGCGGGGCTTTGTACTAACGATCCGTAGTCAGAAAAACTCTAATAGCTGCTAGCTAAGACAGTGCCTGTACCGTCACGGTAACCCGATACCGGCACTAATAAGTTACCGAATAATAATATTATTCCCGGGAATTGGTGATAAAATGTTTTGTTTTGCCATCCGTTTCCACATATTTTAGCATAGTTCTCTTGTTATATTGTTTCTTACAAAATAGCAACCTTTCAACGAGATAGCGATCGGAGACTTATCGATCTAGCTTCGTGTACCCTTATCTTTGACTCAATAGCGACACCGCGCGTCCCATCACTAATTAATTGATGCCCCGCTAATTATACGACATAATTCATCCAAAATCAATAGGCTTCTGGTCCGAGATATGACCAATGCACATGCAAAATTTGGAGCAGATTCAACCTTGCTTTCGTGAGATATCGCGTGTATCTAACAGACAAACAAACAGACAAATACCTATCAATATACTTACCGATCAAGATCGATAAGTGATAACTTACAGACGAGATATAGTATAGGTAGGGTTACCATATTTTCGTGACTTCAAAGTGGGACGCCTCTAAAGACAACGACCCCTTAGCTGTGATTTTGTAACTTTACATTTTCCGATTTTACTACATAGACCTACATTTGAAGCTATCCCGGCTGTCTTCATTGACCATATTGTCATCGAGAATTCATGCGCATATTCTCTGTCCAAATATAGGGTTCAGTTCGAAAAATAGAAAGGAATTGGCGTTAACGATAGCGCTACAAATATTTCGAATTTAGACTAATTAGTATTGGTTTTACATGCGATACGTTTTCTAACAATGTTAGCGGGAAACAACGAAACAAACGCATTCACCTTCAGTAAGTAGGCTAGCGCTGCACTACACAGAGACAACAGTATTGAAAACATGTTCGTGTATTATGCTGGAGGGCTGAACGACAAAGCGGGACTTTTGGCTGACTTGTCGGGACGACGGGACAAGACGCTAAAAAGCGGGACTGTCCCGCCTAAATCGGGACGTATGGTAAGCCTAGATATAGGCATATTGTTTTCAAATATATATATTTTTAAAATTGATGTACTTTTCTTGTTGTGGGGTCGCAAAAATCTTAAATTTTTTATGTTACGATAATTAGGGTCGCGAAAAAAAAATTTGGAACCTATAGTTTAGATTAGACTCTAAACTCTAGACACGCGATATTCGGCACTTCATGTTTAAACCCTGGCATAGGAAAAACTGGCATTTGTTACGTAATAATATGCTTTTTCGGGCTTTCCCAGACTCAAATACTGTGTGTCAGCGGTTCCAAAACTTTTTGTTCACGCGGCCCCAAATTATCACGGAAAAAACTCACGGCGCAGTTATACGAAAAAAATGCTTCTTTTCAAATAAAACTCAATTTTGTTATCGCTAATGTGTACTTTATGCATTTTAAAGTTTGAATACATGTAGGCATAAGGAATGAAAACAAAATGTCAACTCTTCTTCCTCATCTCTGCTCCATTTCCCTTCGAAATGCAGGAAAAATCACTCATATTCGCTAAACTGGGTTTCGTAGATATATGAACTGCAGCTCACGAAATTGTTTAAAGTAGTTTCTCCCTCTATTGTTACATGACAATTGAGGCAGACATCTCGTAACAGGAAGGAAACGACAATAGAGGCAGACACTACGTAACAGGCAGTAAACGACATAGGAAAGTAAAATAAATTTATTGATCTATATATATACACAGCATTTAAAATGAGAAACAAAGAAACATTCGCACCCTGGATATTTGAACCCATGGAATGTACGTGGATGCAAATGTCTGTGGGTTGTGGGTACAAATTTCCACGAGTGGTAATATCCGCGAGTGCAAGTGTCCGCGGGTGCAAATGTACGTGAGTGCAAATGTACGCGGGTGGAAAAATTCGCGGGTACAAATGTCCGTGGGTGCAAATGTCCATGGGTGCAAATGTTCGTGGGTGCAATAGTCCGTTGGTGCAAATGTTTGTGGGTGCTAACGCTCATTGGTGCGAATGTTCGTAGGAGCAATTGCACATGGGTGCAATCTATAAGCGGGTGCTGAAATCTATGGGTACAAAAGTATGCAGGTGCAAATGTGCTTTCACCGTTGCATAGTGTTGTTTTGGTAATACCGCAAAATTGCTTTTTTAAAAACATACGTTTAATATTTGGTGCTCATAAGATCTAACTAACGTTTAATTGTCATTTACAGGTCCAATAAAACTTATATCCTTGCGAAACTACATTTGATTAGCAAAGATACACTATCTTAGATATTGTTAGACATGAAGCCGGTATGGAGTAAATCTACTCAATGGATTGAATGCATTTTCTAATTATTTGAAATGAATGATTTAATCATGGACGCTTGTACATGATTTCTAATTATTTTTACATCATAAAGACGTCGCTTTTACAGCAAAAAGATCAACGCTCGACGATCAATTGATTAGATATTGTTGTGTCGTGAAATTCGAAGAATTGACGATGTTTGTAGATATTCAAAATGTATTACAGAAACACACAGTCATCGACTGAAGCATCAACAAAAGAAGAAGGGCGAGAGAGAACCCAAAGTCACTCATGCATGAAATAATGGGAGCCATAACACAGTATACCACATACATGAAGATACAAGACCGTGAGTCATCATTCACTGTTGTTTACGAAATCTACTTCACTTCACTACTCGTTCTTCCCCTGTGATTCCATGAAACTGCGAATCGACTTAGGATTTCTAAAATTTAGGAATTCAGAACTTGTAGCCGACTTGACCAAATTATGTATATATGCTAAAATTATTTTAAGATACTTCCGCTAGCTATTCCACTGAGCTGTTTCCAACAGTGCTCTTGAATTATTTCCGAACCTATCTACTAACATCTGCTGTTGTGAGAAAAAATTCATATATACTTTTATATAAAAGCTTGTGAATTTAACTCAATATCTTATACAAACATAGGCCTACTGGCCAAAAACAATAGTTTTTTACTATTCTTCGATGATTCGTGGACTTAAGTCTAATAAAAAAGAGACTGAATCACCATATATATATACATAGACAGTTGAATCAATAATGAAATGATTAACTTGAGCACGTTGAAATTGAACCTCAGACTAGATCCCTACATTCCATTTGCCTTTCACTGCTTTGTGTAGTAAGCATATAGTTGATAAGAGCAATGAAACTGAATTGCTTCTGACTAAAGCAGAATCTCAAAATTAGGGTTCTCAGACAAAAAAAATTATAACATTTAACAATATTGTGTTTTATTCAAATGTGGGTTCTTTATAGCAAAACAATAAGTCTTTTAAAGACATCCAACTTTTTTCTTTTATGAAAACCTGCAAAAAATAAACCAAAATAAAAATACTATTTTATTTCTTTAACAAACAAAATCCTAAATATGCTTTCGCACCTCAAAATATAATTTTAGAAAGCAATCAAATTTTTGGAGTTTTTATTCTTAGTGCAGGGTTACTGAAACTGGGCTCTCGCTCCCCGAAAGCGGCCGTCGAGTAGCGCTCTGGCGGCCACGAGCAAAGAGATTCACTAGGTTTGTAATGAATACATATTGTTTAAAAAATAGTACATACATATTACTGTAAATTGACTGCGACTTGTTGAATTCTTCGACTGTAATGCATTAGTTTTTTGTTTGTTTTCGTTTCTTGGCTTTTCATTTTTAAACACGACTTATAAAATAACTGATGTACACGCGTTAAAAGCAAAACGACTGTTGATATTGTTTTGAAGGAGGCCACTGATAATGAAAGTTTGAGAACCAATGTCTTAGTACTTATTCCAGTCATATAACGCCCGATGTAGAACAGTGGTAAGGATAAAGTCATCAATTTTCGAGTACACCTTTGAAAGCAAGACTATGTGATTTATTTACCATATAACAAATCTCAGGTGATTTAATTCAGGAAATTTGGAGTATATTCGAGTTGAGTAATATGGCATTGGTGTGCAAGTATGTCAAAATCATTGCCAGTATTTTAGTTTTAATACAACGAAACATAATATTTACAAACGTTTTTGATCTATTCATCTTTTAACAACACATATTCAATCAGTTTCTCCAACAGATTTTGGTCGCCTTGTTCTCTCACTGCAGAAATAAGGAATACAATTATGTCATCAAATTTAGTTATAGTACTGATAACATACACTTCTTCAATTCTGTATGAAACATAATTGGGCATAGACCAACGCCCTGACCCGGCGGTCATTCAATGTACTGAGTGTTGACATACTGGCCGTGACTAATTTTCGCTCCGCTTAATATTTTATTTGGTGAAAATTACATGAATTCAGAAATATATATATATTTTATGCTTAGGAACGTATAAGATACATAAATTGATTTGACACTTACGTCTTCCATCGTTATGCTGCTGACATGTTCCCAATTCCATACATACGAGCACGATCAATGTTGTGACTAGCAAGAACCACAGGCGGAGAGTAAGGACTTTACAACCCATATGCGATAGCCTATCCCTATACTATTAAAGGTAAGAATATCTATTGCAGTAAAGATTTCATATTTATTGAAATGTACTCATATCTTCACTTTGAGAAAGACTCTAGACGAGCAGTTACTGGTGCGCAAAAAAAACTATTATTAGTTGAACCAGAATATTCCCGGTTCAGCACAAGCTATGATATTTATTTGATACCTTGGCGAGTTTTTGATTTCCCGGGATTTAAGGGTTGTAAAGGAAAATTCCCGACGTTTAAGTGCTAAATGAGAAAAACGTACAGGAATTAGCGGAACGTACTACCAGGTATTTGGAAAAAACCTATGAACAAGTATTCACTTATATGTAGAGGGCAACTATATTTTCAGGATATTTTGCAATCTGGCATATTGGGACGGTGGTGGAACAAAAAGATTAGAGAGAGTTCGGGGTTCGATACCCCGAACTGACGTCTGGTGCACGTTACTGTGATATATATATGTACTATTCGTGTAGCCATTTTGCACAATAACAGCCAAACGCATGATTTCACTTCTAAGAATGATTTGGCCCCTGGTACGTGAACAACTATTTTGATTTAAAATCAATCTTTCTGATTAAGCATAATCTACTTCTTTTTTTACTACTCTTCAGATAAAATGGTCGGCCAGCAACTAGAACTAGATATCTTCATCCTACTACGCCAACATAACTGAGTCGAGCGTTCATTGAAGATACATAAACATGTTATTCACGTCATGATGTTACCCTGAGGCAATTCGATTAAATATTCTTCTGATATGTCACACAAATCGAGTCGAAATACATCGAAAAACAGATTGCAGCGGATTTCCAACTCCTAACACGCTTGAAGCTACATTTGGACTGGTAGAATTCAGTAGCTGCCAGTTATAATTGGACATAAATATCTTTAATTCATCTCGCTCAAAGCCAGGGAAATTAAAAAATAAAAAGATATATTCACTTGGCTAACACAGACAGTCCCCGAACTCGTAATATAGCTAAAATAAGGAAAATCGGAATAAAAGTATGGCCTAACCCTTAACCTGGTAAACACACTACGGATGTAACTTTTTTCCTACATAACAATCTGGTTTATATTTATTATGCCTGAAGAGTAGTCTTGTTTTGTAGGTCTATTCAACATTGTTTGAACGTGTTTATTTTGATAATCTAACATAAATTCTTAATTCAGTATTGAATTTTATTTGCAAATAAAAAATTACATTATAATTTTATATATATAAACCTTATAAAGGATTGTGCATAAATAATTAACAACAAAACCGTTTTCCTGTCAGTGCTGACTTCTCTGCTAATAATTTCTAATACCTTCTGCTGATAATTCTCGCCCCAACAAGAATTTTTATCTCTATATATCACTAATGAATCTACAATGGATAATCGACTTGATTTTTTTATTTGGCATATCGTCGAAGTTCCTTGCGTTACTTTATAAAATGAACGACAGATCGGTATTTATGTATATATATTCAATTTATCGTGCATACTAGTTTTGTTAGTACTACTACTGTTCTGTTAGTCAGTAGTCGCCCAGTAAAACTCTTATTGGAATATGTTGGCGTTGAAAAATGAAAGTTTCAAGTTATAATCGGATGTCAACCGCTTCAATCTGTAATAAAACTGGTAAGAGCCTTTGACTTGACATATCGACAAGATAGTTCAAAATTCTACCACCTTGCACATAGGGAGTAATGAATTGGATACTGCACCAAAAATAATGTACTAAATAGTTTTGTCTGCTTGACTGGAGTCTGGGGAAGGTGTAAAACACATCGTGAAAGGATAGTATGAATCTTTACTTTAATCGGTATTCATACTTTCATTCAGGATTCATTTTGCAATCTACATTCACCTATAAAAACTTATAGAATATCATTTCACTGGACATGTCTTTGAAATCCTAACCCTTCGCCCGTGGTTCTTGTTCATTACAACGCAGATTATGTTTTATTATTAAGTAGATGCCATATGGTTAAGCCGTGTTATCGGCTCTCCTCTCCCCTTGGATAAATATGTAAATTCTAATCCTAATGGAGAGAAGAGGGATGTAGCTTGAGATTAGCAAAACTATGTGGAAAATTGGAATATTTGAAAAATCTTCCATTCAAAGTTAATGAGGTTCGGCTATTGTCAATTTTGTTAACATATGTTTTTAAAATAATCGAATTAGTTTTTAGAATTAGAATAGAATCGAATTAGAAGTTTTTGGGTCTTGGGAGAAAAAATTTAAATATACCATTGAATATAGGACAGACATGAGTAATTATTATAACAACTAATATGCGGTGACATCTGACGAGTTTTCAAACTTTTTGAGGTTCGAAAATAATCAATTTTGCTGAATGCTAATTTAGGGGTGTCTCAAAAATGTCGTGTCCCACTTGCAATTCAGTGAAGCGTATTTTTTTCCCTTCATTCCTGACTCAATCACTTTAATTATACAAATCACAGTGCATTGAAAAGCAAATTTGAATTTATTAACATTAATTCACGAGTTCTACGGGTAAGAATTATTATATTTTTCAATTTCTAATTTTGAATGAAACGCGCCAACACCGTTTTTGTAAATTTAGAATTGTCGAACCAGATAAGTACGACTGGTAAATTTTGTATTCTATGGAAATTTTCCAAGATATTGGGGACGGGTAGAAATATTAGTTTGACCACGTAGAAATGCCATTATTACCTATTTATTCAAGTGTTTAGTATCAGTGTTTTATTCCCAAGCTGAGTTACGTACGTTAATTCTCAACACTGAGGATTCGAGAGATTACCAATTTGCGGAGTTTTTAATTAATATTATTTAATACGAAAGTAACACGGACACGATATAAAATTTAAAGCATGAAAAAGTCAACTATCAGCTTCACAAATATCGCATTCCGGGGTCAGTAATATTGTTCGCTTAAAATTGAGACCTTAATTTACAAACTGTGATACAAATCTTACAAAAAAGATAAAAAGCAGCATAAAATTAATTTATGTTGTGAATGCACTCCTTAATAGTTGTCTTTGACATTGTCGCCGATGGGAAATCAAATTTCTGTCCAAAAAATAAAAACCAAACTACGATATTCGCCGTTGCATGAGAATTAATATATACTAGTGAATAAAAAGTGCTTCAATATAGTTTATCATCATTAATTGGGATGTCAAGCCGCCGAAATGATCGCGGTGACAAAAATATTTACTGCGGCCTTGGATTATGACAAAATTATGAAATAAAAAACGCTGCATTGTTGCAAAGTTTTCAGTCTTCAAGTAAATTCCGAAAAATAAAATTGTCACGGCGATCGTTTCGGCGGCCGACATCTCAATTACGGTTGTTTGAAATGACAATACTCATTATTCGATGTTGTATTCGTTGAAAATATTCGAATAATTCGACTAAAAAAAATAGTTGCCCACCACTAATTACAGCGCATTTAATCGGCGCTACATGCGAGCGTGTTTTTGTACTTATAAACAATTTTGACGCTACTGACATCCGCGAGTAAAACTTCTTTCCAAAATTAATTTTCACGATTTCTAATGTTCTATTTTCAAATGCGGGTACTGCTGACTACGGATTAATGGTCGATAGTTGAAAAAGGGGTTTGCAAAATATTCACCATAAACCGCCAGGCAAAGACACATACCGGTAACTGTGGAATTTCGCTGTGAACGACGCATTCTTTTCAGTTCATTAAACGCCTTACGTCGTCGTGAATTGCACTTTGGGTGCTCTGTTTCAATTTCACCAAAAATTTTGGCTGCGCCCATGTCGGTACTTATCCGATATCAACCCGGCTATATTCCGGCACTGATAAACCATGTCATAATTTGTCACCCATGTCATCAATAACCAAAACTTCTGTGCTTGCTATTACCAGAAAGCCTATGTTGAATGTATTATTAAATGTGGTTTGGTATGTTTGCAATCTCGCTAATTCGTTTTCGCTGTTAGGAATCCGTATTTTTGCCATTTTGCAAATTAGAGAAATCTATACTTGTAACACCGATCCGCTAAGTCGCAATGCTGCCACCCAGATTATTTTTAAGATATAACCGTTATAATCTCACGAGATAAAATCTAGTTTAGTACAATAAAACGCGACTGGATAAAAAAATTTATAATCACAAATAATTTACCATCACAATTCGTTAAGTGTGGTACAAATGGCACATGAAGTACAAGTAGTACATGTGATACAAGTGGCACACGTGGGAGAAGAAAGACAAGTGGGACATGACATTTTCGAGGCATCGCAAATTCAGTGGATAAAAAGTCAATAAGAGTATACCTTGCGCTAGATGAGCATTATTATGAAACAATACCCAATGAATGTTTCCTCGAGCATCGATTTCCTTGTTTATTTCCGTAACAATTTCAAATCAGCATTAAGTCAATAATAACGCGACAATTACAATTTTTCACACTTCATATTCACCAGATATATATTCAAGCGGGGTTGCAAATATTACCTTTTTTTGGTAGTTTTGTGTGTTAATTGTCAGTTTTTAGTAGTGCTTCCAAAAGATAGTTGTGGATGAAATAACTTAATTGTCATTATGTTTTAAGAGGACCTTCAGTTTAGTCAGCAATAATCAAAAATCGATACCTCAAATGCTGCGATAGACTAGCATGAATTGACTTTGACTTAAGGGGAAATAGGATAGAATTTACATATTCATCCCAGGGAAGAGGAAAGCCGATAAGTTGGCTTAACCATATGGCAAACCATGGCCTATCTTTCTGTTACCATTCTATGTCGGGTATGATATCAGTTATTTGTTTTCGAAAGCATGAATTTGAGGGTGGAGGAAGCCGTAACCAACCAGCGGTCACGTGAACCACCCTATGGCGACAAGGAGTCCAGTAATCCTCTCGCACATGACCATTCCCCATAGGATTCAAACCTGCGAACCCACGCAAACTAATCAGAGGTGCTGTGGCGAGCGTAATCCTAACGCTTAGCACGATAAGCCGCATATTGTATTTCACATTTGATGGTATTAAGAGAAAAACAAATGGCCCCAATAGTAAAATCACCCGCTTCATGAGTACCATCAGTACCATAATCAATTTTTTTACTCCTGTTGTGTTAATTTTATTAGCCATGAAAAGGTAATGTGCTATTTGGTATACATTCTTAAAAATAATTTTGAATATGGAATGAGTTTCAATATATCAGGTGTGTGCAACAGGTGGCACGCACGCGAGGCCAAGCCATTTAGTGTGTAGCAATTATTCAATGTAGTTTTCCATTGATGTCGCCCAAAAATATTGTAAATTATTCAACTCACTTCAGTAGTTTTTTTTTATTGATGTTCATCCTGAAGATGATATAAAGAAAAACAGTCCCCAGGATGAAGACCGGGCTTCCCTTGGCAAGTATCGCAATAGAATGTAGTGTCCTTTCGCATTCCGTCTGTTCTCCTGCTGCAAAATTTGCATTCTCTGCGCCTTCGACCAGGCTCAACCTTCTTCTGTACATGAAAACAAACACTTGTTGGTTCCAAACCAGGAGCTGATGCTGTTGATATTTGCCGCCGCCTCTGGCTGTCCTCCCTTCCGAGATCAACAAGATCAGGCACAAGATCTTGGCGAAATTTCAATGAGGAAAGATACTTTCTTTGCTTTTTAGGTTTCGATCGTTTGTATAATAGATAACTGTTAGTTACACAATTTTCTAGAAGCCAAAAAAACGTCTTTTTCCACCATGGCACTGATTTCCTGCTGCAGTTGTAATACGATGTGTATTGATCTGACAAATCAACCCCACCCAAGTATCGATTATAATTCTCAATCAGTAATGGCTTTTCAAATGTTCTGTTGCATTTTTCAATTTTTTGTTTAACTGTTTGGTCACCACGATAAAACGTTGATATCATTGTTACAGGTCTTTTGTTTACCCAACTTTGTAGTAAAATTTTCCCACTGCGCATTGATTTTATTTTTCTTTGATTTGCACTGATACCGACAGGAATTCCAATTCTGTTTGCCATTATTGATCCTGTGAGATATGTTCTTTCGTTATGCAGGTGATCGGCTAAATCCAAAGATGTGTACAGTCGATCACAGAAAACATGGTAACCTTTATGGAGGTAGGGTTTAAGAAGCTCCACTATTGTGGATGATGTTTTATTTAAATTTGGAATAGTTTCTTTCCCGCCTTCTTTGCCATAGTACATTATAATATTTAGCATATATCCTGTGTTAGCATCTACTAATGTTTGGGCTAAGAGGCCCAACTTAATAGGCTTCCTTGGGTTGTACTGTCGAAATTGAATAGAACCTTTATAAGTAATCATAGTCTCAACTGCTGCCAGTTGCTGGTACGGAATGAAATGCTTCTGAAATTTGTTCACAATATAGTCAATAATGGGTTGTATTCCGTCACCCTTCACTCTTTTGTCTTCTTCAATTTCACAACAATGCAACATAGTGTGAAAAATGGCCTGAAATCGGCTTCGGGGAATAGCTTTGGGAAAGTATTCCATATGAAGTTCAGGTCGGGTCGACCAGTAGTCAGAAAGACAAGGCATCTTTACTATCCCTGTGTTGAGTAGAAGCCCAATAACCAAATACATTTCAGGTACAGTAACATTTTTCCAATCATGTAGACGAGATTTTGGTGATAAGGGGGTCGCTTGTATTTTTTCATTCGCATATTTATTTGTTTCGTTCACTATCATTCCTACCAATTCCTCTGTAAAGAAAAGCTTAAAATATTCAATTGGTTTGCTGTTAGCTTCAGGCAAATCTTTCCCTCCACAACCTTTTGCCCGAAAGTGGAATGGGGTCTCTGGCCCATTTTCATCATTTGATGTGACATCATACCAGTTTGTGTATTTGCTAGTGGCATTATCAACTAAAGTGCGCCTCGGCCTCCCTTTTCTAGCTCGGTTTGGTGTGGCTGAAAGTGTACAAGGAGTGGAAATAGTCTCAGATACTTCCGAATCACTACCATTACCAATGTATCTGGCTCTTTTTGGTGTGGAACAAGTTAAAATAGCTTCAGATTCCTCTGAATCACTACCATAACCAAATTGCTGGCCATCTGTTCCATTTTCAACTTTCAGTGTGATGTCACGCCAGTTGTTATTGCTTGCAGAAGTGGAAAACCGAGCATTTCCTAATACTCTAGATCTCTTGGGGGTAGAAGGACATGAATCATCCTCAAATGTCTCTAAATCGCTGCCATTACCAACAGAGACATAATCTGCATCACTGTCTTCATCCAGGTCTGAAAAAGATGTACAATGTTATGAAAATATGGGGTGTTTACCAATAACTACCGGTACATGTTGCAATTGGCCTTTTATCAATGAATGTGCGATAAAATAACCCACCTGACTCACTATTACCAAGATCTGAAATATCATCCAATGTCTCGTCATCATCTGAAAAAAATTGCCTATCTGCCATTTTATAGTCTCCTTTCAGTACCAGATATAGCAAGCAAATTTGTGGATTTTTTCATTGCCACATAGAGATTTTTGTCAGATTCATATACCGCAATTTCTTCCTAGTATATATCACACATTTTATCCATAGCCAGATAGCACTCAAATGGTATTCATAAGTTAGGAATGTTCATTCTATTTGAATTCTCCATCATTCAGTCATTTAAATTTAACCTAACAGTGCAGAGGTCTTAATCTAATGTAAGTCTGTAAGATCAGAGGTTACTGAGTTAAGTTACGGTACCAATCGCTCTTTTAGTCTCAAGATACAAAACTAGGTAAATGACAGTCAGACAGTGGCACTTAATTTTAGTATTTGCCCTCAAATCTGCAAATAGTTTTCATGGACCAAACCAATATAGATGACAGATACGGTCAGAAGTGGTAAACTGCGTTGCCAATAATTGCGTTAGCCTACGTCTGCGCTACTTCAGCACTCACTAACACAGAACAGCGTGGAACTGGAACATAAAACAGCGTAAATTGGGGTCAAACTAACGATAACTTCACGACGGACAAGACACTCATTATCGCCGCAGACGTTGCATGCTTGGGTGGCTTCACGTAAAATCCAAATCTGGAGCGCTCACAACGTATTGTGGACATTAACGATCGTTTCAATATAATTGGACACGTAGTGGACATAACGATCGTTTCAATATTATGTTGTTCTTGTTCTTGTTGTTTGACACAGAATAACACACCTGATGGAAATATTAAAAAAACGCTTTTCTCTTCGAATACTGGACCAATTGCTTTGAAGTTTTCAGTGATTGAAGATAAAATTTCTGTTAGCTCTGTGAGATTTGTTTTTGTTTGCTATGACGTCATTAAAAGTTCTGCGGGTATCGGACGCCATTTTGTGTCCTACTGTACTGCTTCGCTTGGTGTGAATATATTTGTAGACTGTGATCTGACGGTACGGTAAACCGTACTGTACTGCGAACAGACGTGTCCATATATTTGGGCGTAGCTCTCTTGTGTTGTTTTTGTTATTATTTGTCTCCATCATTTTTGAAAAAATCGCTTTTCTCTTCGAATACTGGACCAATTGCTTTGAAATTTTCATCGAGTAAAGATTGATTTTTTTGCCAGAAGGCTATTACTTTTATTTATTTCTAAATTTCGCATGAAATCTGATATTTCGTCTAAAATTTTGCTGTATTATTTTATCCATGGGATCACTGGCTGTCCGGTTTGATTCTGTAAATTATTTCTACGCGAAACTCGGAGTTTTTTGTGGGTACCGGTGGCGTCAAAGGTAAATACTGCTTCGCTCTGGTTAACGTGTCCATATATTTGGGCACAGCTCTCTTGTTTACGCTCAAACGGTGCTTTTCTTATGGCGGTGAAGCCATGTGTAATTGAAGACGGAAATCTCGTAAGATTCAGTAATATAAAAATAAGATAAGATTGCATTTCGATTCATTCGCAAAAACAAAATAAGCATATATACACAAAAGATTAAGGCGAAGAATCTGGAAAGTGAACCAAACCTGATAAGATAAGTTTAAAACGTTTTAAACGCGTTCACTTACCAAAGAAGAAAGAAAACAAGTCACGAACACAAAACAAATAAACATGAATATTGACGGCGGTCATTACGCAGGTGTTTCACTTGGTAATCAGGTTGCGTGCAATTTTTTTAAAAACAAAAACAGTGAATTAAATATTCGCTGTGCGTGTGATGCGGCATGTAAACAAACAATCCGAAAAATCCTAGAATGAGGTGCGAATGCATTTTTCCGTTCCATGCTCAAACATATATCTAGTAAAATCTGCTGAAACGTTAACACACTAATGTAAAAATCGATTGTGAATTTTCGAATATCAGTTCGTGCAGGTTAACTTTTGTATATGCGGTCACATATTTGAGCAGAGCATCATTTCGTCCGAACTTATCTTCAGAATAGCCTTAAAAATCTTCCATTTTGCACCCATGTTGCACATTTCCAGTCCATCATTCAAAAATCTGCTATTTCTGTTATTTGTTTATTGATATACCGAAAAACTTTGCGGTAAACTATGGCTCGGCGGTGTGGCGCATCGTGCTAAGCGCTAGGAATACGCTCGTCACCGCATCTCTGATTACCTTGCGTGGGTTCACAGGTTCGAATCTCATGCGAGGATGATTACGTGCGAGGGATTGCTGGACTCCTCGCCGCCGTACCCCCAAAACCTTTGACCCCGGAAAATGTCTTCCTATAGAGCAGGGGTCGGTAACCTACGGCCCGCGGGCCGGATCCGAAGAAAGATGTATAATGAATCCTACATTCAGTATGGATTCACTGCTATTAACAAGAATGGGCATGATTTTCCACAGTGTGTCATATGCTGCAAGGTTTTATCCGCGGAGTGCATGAAGCCTAAATTTCTCAAACGCCACCGAGACAGTTGTCACCCAAATCTTAAAAGTAAGAGCACTGCTTTCTTCAAGCAGAGAGAAGTTGGATTGAAACTATCTCGCCTTGACCATTCGGGTTTTTTCAATCAACAAAATGAAGCCGGGCTTTGTGCATCCTACATAGTAACGCTGAGAATTGCAAAAAAAAAAAAAACTCACAATATTGCAGAGAAATTGATTGTCCCTTGCTGTAAAGATATAATTCGCTGTGTTGTTGGTTGTGATGCTGAGAAGAAGGTTGCATCAATACCCTTCTCAAACGATACAGCTCGTCGACGAATATTAGATATGTCCGATGATGTCAAACAACAAATGATTGCTGAATTAATCAAGGCACCGTCTGGAAAATTTGCAATCCAACTAGATGAGTCAACTGACGTGGCTGCTTGTGCCTAACGGCTGGTATTTGTACGATACGTCAGTGATGAAGATTTCAAAAAAAAATTCTTGTTTTGCCATACCTTGGATTCGACAACAAGAGGTGAAGACATTTTTAATACGATCTCTACTTTTTTGCAAGAGAAGGACTGTCCTGGGAGGATGTATGTGCATGTATAACAGATGGAGCGCCATCGATGATTGGCCGTCGGTCAGGGTTTCGAGGAAAAGTGGCGGAGAAAAATTCCAAAATAAGGCATCTCCATTGTATGCTTCATAGATATGCTTTGGCATGTAAAACTTTACCACCTGGGTTAAGGTTAGTACTTGATGATGTTGTGCATATGATAAATACCATCAAATCAAGTTTCCTAAATACACGGCTATTTTCCTCACTGTGTCAAGAATTAGGCAGTGATTATGAAGCGTTACTGTATCACACTGAGGTCCGCTGGTTGTCTCGAGGGTGTGTGATAAGCAGAGTTGAATCACTGAAGGATGAGCTTCGTGAATTTTTCAAACGTGAAAACAAGACAAGTCACAGTTTATTCAGAAACTGTCAGATAGCGAGTGGCTTCAGAAGCTGGCTTACCTTTCTGATATATTATCGAAGCTCAACTTATTGAACCTGTCTTTCCAAGGCCGTTTTGATGCAATGATTGATTTCATGGAAAAATTAAGGCATTCATCATGAAGCTTGATCTCTGGGAAAAGAAAGCCAAAGATGGAAATCTGAGCATGTTTGAAAACCTGGATTCCTTGTTAATGTTCCCCAGTACTTACCTGTGCGAGCAAGGATTTTGAACGCTGTTAAATATGAAAAGTAAACATCGATCACGGCTTAATGGGGAGCATGACTTACGTGTTTGCCTGTCTAAAACTGCTCCTCGAATTGAAAAACTTATTCTCAATAAACAGTGACAGCCTTCACACTAATGTTCTGTTTAAATGTAATGAATACTTTTGTATTTATACAATTTACAATACTATATAAAAATGATTGTCTGAATACTGGGGGTTCGTGTTGATTGTTTTGAGACTCGGGGGGGTACTTGACAGAAAAAAGGTTGAGAACCCCTGGACTAGACCCACCACACTTTAGAAGAACCCGCCCATGCATGCATGCCACACTGAAAATTCTCTTGTGTACCGATAAAATTAAGCAGTTGGAGCCTTCAGACCTTGAAAACAGTCGAATCTGAGCACGATGGATTCATGTGAAACACGTAATATGCATTTATAAGCAAAAATATTTCATCCTGAGCAGCACCGATTCACAACCTCCTTCCTATTGGTGTAATGTGCGCATTCACAAATCTTTGCAAATCAAGTGTGCCTTTTGACTAAGGAAAATTTAGCATTGAAATGGTCAATCTCAATATAATTACCTGCAGCAGGAAACCGCAGATTACCTGCTAACTAGGGAACAATACCTTATGGCTGTATGGCAATTGATGATTAATACCTTACACAAGTCAAGTCTGCAAGTACCGGGAGCCTAGGCCTACCAATAACAGTAGTTTGTCATCTGCTTTCCATTGAAATGAGGGAGCTTATGAATGTTTAAAGAAATTGACAACGGCACATTATCACTCACCATCAACGAATTGCTGTCCGCAAACAGTGAAACACAAGCGAGATGACTTCTGGACTTGACACCAAGCAGTCCTGCCAATAGATAATATCCACATTGCGCGACGTTCCGGATCTTTTGAAAACAGTGGAATATAATTGAAGATCCATTTTGTTGTCTATACTATACGTACAGCCAACGGAACAATACAAAATAACCATTTTCAACAGTCAAACAAAACGGAAACATATAATCCGACTTGCAACTGACAGGAGCCAAATGGACGTTTTTGTTTTCTCGCCGTCCAGTAAACAAAGTCACGGCATGGATGCAAAATAGTAAATACAAATGTATTTAAATATTTAGAAAGTGGCTCATATGCCGGTGATGATGAACATTAAAATACACATTTTTATGATTTACAAATACTTTCATCAATAATAACAAAGTAAATACCACGGCCTAAATCCAAGTTATAGGTTATCATACTTAGCATCCATAGGCAGGCAGCCTCAGTGAACTTATTGCCACCAACTAACGAATTTCAGCCGGGCCATTAGGTGCCATCAAAAATGCAGCTAACAGAAACATATTCGAGCTTTAAAAATTCTAAAGGTGATTACACAAGTATTTACGTCATAGCTTGTTGTTTTTAACACAGACTAGATTTGTGATTATGATGTCATAATTGTTTTCTCGTAATTGCTCCTTGCTTTTACCTGTCTGCGTGCTTGTTATTCTTTCTTGTGTTTGAACTGTCTAGCGTTAAGCTGCGATATACTGACGTCTTACTTTGCCGTATAATAAACTGCAATATTTCTGTCTACTGGTGATTTGGTAATACCCAAGACATCACACTGGCGATGAGGATGGGATATTATTGCCTATAGGGCGAATACATGTTGAAACTAGGGCTGGGCATTTTCGAATACCTGATGATTTCAGAATCGAATCGAATATTTTTTTCGAATCGAATCGAATCTCGAATACTTATAAAAATTTTACCAAATTAGCAACTACAAAATTACATGTGACTTTTTTTATTGCAATGGGTTCTCCAGATACATGAAATCCTAAAACACAAAATCTATCACTCAGTCATTTGCTAAGTTGTCACATATGATAAGAAACATGCTTTATCAATAAGTCAATGGGAAGGAAAAAGTCATATGTCAGAATTGCATTTTAAAAATACAAGAGCTTCCACATGTGATCCGGTGAGGCTTGATCTGAGCTCAGTGGCAGTGTTTCCAGCTGCAGAAAATAATCGCTCACTTGGGGTTGATGTTGCTGTTACACACATATATTTGCCAACAAGCTTGCTCAAGTTTGGATAATTAGCGTTTTGATCTTTCCACCAAGTGAGGGGGTTTGAACATTCAGAAAGTACTTTGGAACTAAAAAATTTGTTCACTTCATTGGCAACCACTGGGACCTCAGTATCTGCACTGTCATCGGACTCTGATGATTCGAAGGCAAGGCTTATGATGGATGTCGATTGCTGAACTGAAGAAGATGAAGGTTCAGCTTTTTCAACAACTGTTTGTTCAAATAAGACTGTGAGTTCCAATTCGATTGCACTTTTGAGCTGGAAAAAGTAAGCATGTCAAAAAAGAAAACAAACTTTAGCCAGATCAACTAGGAATCCTTATTAAGTATGGCCAAAACAAGCAACATTTGGATAAATTTGAATTTTATGCATTCAATAAATGACAAGTTTTGAATACAGGAATATTTTAGATTAGTTTTCTTATGGAAATCTGCGATTTAGGAACCACAATTGACATCAAACAAGTCATTGTTCACTAATGTTTATTATACAGTGGGGAAAAAGTCATCTCTATATCTTTAGATATGGTCGATGCAGATATGTCATGAATTTTATCTAATCCTGTCAATGCATTTGAAACATGAAGATACACGAAAATTCAATTTGACCTCATTCCAACCAAAATAACATGCTATGTTGTTTGTCATGTAGGGCAATTTTGTTGGCAAGATAAAAATCTTATTCAGGAAGAAATAACAAGTTACCTGAAGAGACTCCACAGTACGAAGTCCCCACAGTTTATATCTGGGATCCAGAGCCATTGCCTTCGAGCTGATATCATTAATATCAATAGGAAATCGCTCCTCCATTTCGCCTTTTACTTTTTGTCTGAACTGCCGGATTACCAAAGGTTCATCATCTTTCTCGCGTGACAGATGTTTTTTCAATCCCTTGATGTATGGATTCTTTATCGATATCGAGACATATTTTTCGCCTCCTAAAAGATCGGTAGCCTCTGCAAAAGGTTCTCAAGTACTGGAATCAACTGCTTGAAAATCTCCCAGTCCCCAGGCTTGATTGTAAGAGCGGAGGCTTTGGTGGCATTTGTGATATTTTTATTTCCAAGTATAGCCAAAATTGGCCATTGCAATTCCTGCAACCTTACAAGCATGTTGTAAGTACTGTTCCACCTTGTGGATACATCTATTATGAGTGTTTTGGAGGTAAGCTTCATTTCCTCACACTTTTTCCCCAGTGCACTGGTCGCCAATTCACTTCTCTTAAAATGTTGCACTAGTCGTCGAGCTGCTGCAAGAGGTTTTTCTATGCCGTTTATTCCCAATCCTTTGTTTAAACAAAGTTGGAGAGTGTGCGCTGCACAAGCAACACTAGCCCAACCAAATTTTTCATGAAAAATATCTTTGGCTGCCTTCATATTAGATCCATTATCGCTTACTGCTGCACAGACAGCGTGAGGACTAACACCAAAGTCATTGAGAACTTCTTCTACCCACTCACAAATATTTTTTGCAGTATGTCTATCATCCAAAGGTTTCACACTTAACACACATGAACACAGATTAAATTTGGCATCAACATAATGGGCTGTAATGCCCAAATATGCTTCCATTTTCACACTAGTCCAAGCATCGAAAGTCAAGCTCATATGCTTAATGTTTTCAAGAACTCTCTTGAGCTCCATCTTTTTTTCACAATATTCTTTCTCTACACGTCGTGTTATGGTCCTCCTGGATGGCAGTGAATAATTTGGTGCAACATGTCCCATTAAGCGCTTGAAATGTGTTCCTTCTATTGTGCTGAGCGGGCGCATATCCTTTACAATAAAATCCACAACTAGAGAAGTAATCTTTTCTTGCTGAGCAGGGAGGATGGGACGAATAAGTTCCAATTTGGACTGTTTACTGGAGGACTCGTCCAAATCACTTCGATTATCAGGGTTCAAACAAATAGTTACATGCCTTCTTTTAATATGGGCTAATAGATTACTAGTGGTAGCATGGTAACTAAGTTTGTCTCCGCATCTCTGGCACACGACGTACTGGCGTTCGTCATCGCCTTTGGCTGGGGGAGTAAAGTGGCGCCAAACGGGAGATTTCCTATTCATCATACCGTTGCCGAGTACCGGTAGGCTATACATTATTCTAGAAACCCCTTTAAAAATACACAATAATTCTGCAAAAAAAGCACGCAAATTAGTCTTCTATACCTTCTCACTTGCAATGTCGTCAATCACAAAAACATACGCAAGTGTAAAACTGCCTGTCCTACAACTGCCTATCCTATCCTAACTGACGGCGCAACCGATCTTCCCGCATTCTGAACAAATTACGCGCCATAAAAGCGTGCGTGACAAAATCACGCCGGCGTAGCACGTGCGAGAGATAATATGAGAGAGAAGCTCGGCCGTTTGTCCTGCTCACAGCTGAGAGCAGAGAGAGGGCTTTGGAGAGGTGCAAGTCTGGACATGTTCAAACGCCGCCTACAGATGTGAGAGAAAAAAAAAAAAAACAGCGATCGAAATGTCCCGCCGAGAGATGGCTCCACAAAAAAAAATTGTTAAATCGCCTCGACCATTGGTGGACAGAAAAAAAAACAAGATGGCGGCAATTCGAAATTCACGTCTGAACCGATTCGAATAATTTACTATTCGATTCGATTCGAAATGCCCAGCCCTAGTTGAAACGAATCAACGTAATCTAAAGAGAGACAGAAATACCCGCTTGATCACTCAGCAGAAAAATTAAGCTTCGGGAACTGAGAATAACGAATATCATTGAAATAAAGTCGTCAGTCCGGTATTAAGTATTCAGTTATCACAATTTTTAAATCTGTGAAATGGCGTTGGCAATTGGCTCAATCGGAGAATTTATAGAAGATCAGGAAGACTGGCTTACGTATGTTGAAAGACTGGAGCAATTCATGATTGCTAATTGCAGATGGGAAAAAGGTCAGCGTTTTCCTTAGCGTCATTGGGCGTAAAACCTTCATGCTTGTACGTGACTTGGTCGCCCCTGAAAAACCTGCCACTAGAGAAGCAGAGAAAGGCGTCGCTGCAGATAAAGTGGCATCAAAATTTCTATCGAATATACAAGTGGCAAAAGTAAATGAAAAAGAAGTGTGCGTCCATGCCACTGATATCATATGGATACCTGTCAAAGTAGCAGGAAAAGTAATACAAATGGAAATGGATACGGGAGCAGCAGTATCGATAATATCGAATAAAGATTATCAAAAGCATTTTAAAAATGAGAAGCTCACACCTACTGCTATAAAAATGAAAACGTACACGGGTGAGCCATTAAAACCACTTGGGCTGTTACCAGTTGAAGTTCAATGTGGAAATGAAGCTGCAAAATTGAAATTGTATGTGGTCGAAAAAGGTGGACCACCGTTAATGGGAAGAGATTGGATCAGAGCATTGGAAGTTAACTGGAATGAATGGGACAATGTGAATAGCCTAAATCCAAATGAAAATCCGATTGATATAAAGAAGAAATTGGATATTTTGCTGAAAAATTATGAAGATTTATTTAAAGATGAACTTGGTACTGTCAAGGGCCATAAAGCTAAATTTGTATTAAAGGAAAATGCATCCCCGGTGTTCAAGAAGGCACGTCAAGTAACCTTCGCCATGAGACCAAGAATTGAAGAAGAGTTGAATCGTCTCGAAAAAGAAGGAATAATTACCAAAGTACCACATAGTGATTGGGGAACACCTATTGTAGCTGTAACAAAACCAAATGGTCAAATACGTCTCTGTGGTGATTTCAAAGTAACTGTTAATCCAGCTTTGAAGATTGATCAATACCCATTCCCAAGAGTTGAAGATCTGTTTGAAATTTTAGCTGGTGGACAAAAGTTCACAAAATTGGATTTGAAAAATGCTTATTTGCAATTAGAAGTCGATGAAGACTGCAAACATCTACTCACATTGGAGATACACACAGAGGACTGTATCGTGAAAGTAGAATGGTTTATGGAATTGCATCAGCTCCAGCTATCTGGCAACGGGTTCTGGAACAAATTTTGCAAGGATTGCCTAAAGTGGCATGTATATTAGATGACATGATCATCACTGGATCAAATGATGAAGATCACCTCAAGAATGTGGGAAACGTCTTAAAGAGATTAAAAGAATATGGGGTGAGACTGAATTTAACAAAATGCGAATTTATGAAAGATCGTATTACTTTCTTTGGCCATGATATTGATTGTAACGGACAACATATGACAGAGAAACTTGTCAAAGCAATTGTGGATGCCCCGCGTCCTGAAAATGCATCTCAAGTCCGAGCATTCACTGGTATGATTAATTTTTATGCTCAATTTTGCAAAGAGCTAGCAAGTGTGCTACAGCCAATTTATTGTCTATTGAAAAAGGGTCAAAAGTTCATATGGTCCAAGGCATGTGAACAAAGTTTTCTAACTGCGAAACAATTGATTGCATCTGATCAAGTATTAGTGCATTATGGCCCTAAGAAACCAGTGAAATTGAGTTGTGATGCTAGTCAATATGGTATTGGTTGCGTATTATCAAATGTAATGAAAGATGGATCAGAGAGACCCATTGCTTTTGCGTCACGAACATTAACAAAAGCAGAAATGAACTATTCACAAATTGAAAAAGAAGCTCTGTCCATAGTATGGGGTGTGAAAAAGTTTTACCTATATTTATATGGTAGACGGTTTACACTGGTTACAGACCATCAACCGCTAACCTCCATTTTCCACCCGGATAAATCAATTCCAAAAATGACAGCTGCTCGCTTACAGCGTTACGCAATGTTTCTAGCATCACACCAATATGATATCGAATATCGTAAAACTGAAAATCATGGTAACGCAGATTTTTTATCAAGATTTCCATTGTCTGAAAGTTTACATACAGATGATGAAGAATATTCTTTACGTTGCATTTTTGAAGTATTGCCCGTCACAAGTACGGAAATAAGAAAAGCAACCACTAATGAGCCAATATTGTCTAAAGTGGTAGATTTGGTCCTGATATGTTGGCCAAACAAAATCAAAAATGATGAATTACAACCATATTTCAATAGAAGACATGAACTCAGTGTTCATGAAGGATGTTTATTGTGGGGAAACAGAGTTGTAATTCCACCTAAATTACGTTCAAGAATTTTAGAAGAACTACATGAGTCACATCCAGGCATAGTCAAAATGAAAGCATTGGCTCGATCATATGTCTGGTGGCCACAACTTACTAACTCAATTGAAAATAGAGTAAAAGAATGCGCTTCTTGCCAGGAAACGCGAAAAATGCCTGCAAATGCTGAACTACCTATGTGGGAATTTCCCTCAAATGCGTGGGATTCTATTTCTATATATATATATATATTCTATTTCGAAGAACTCCGACACATATTTGCAAGATATGGTATATGCAAACAACTAGTGTCTGACAATGGACCTACTTTCACGTCGGAAGAGTTTGCAAATTTTATGAAGAATAATGGCATACGTCATTCACGATCTGCACCATTTCATCCGTCAAGTAATGGTATGACAGAAAGATTTGTCGGGGTTTTCAAGAGTTCTCTTCTCCGAGGGAGGAAGGAGTAAGGTGATATTTTACACAAACTGGATAATTTCCTACCAGCGTACAGAAATACACCTCATTCGACAACGAACGAGTCACCAGCCATGCTATTAATGAAGCGATCTCTACGATCACGTTTAGACTTGGTCAAGCCTGATCTAGCATCAAAAGTTAATGAAAAGCAAACTAACGTGCAAGATTCAAAAAGAAATCGTAAAACGAGATATTTTGAACTTGGTCAAGTAGTCTTGGCTCGTGACTATTCTAGCAAAAAGAGAAGATGGGTCAGTGGCACAATTATTAAACATCTTGGACCACTGACATACCTTGTCAAAATTTCTAATGGTGTAACTTGGAAACGCCATATCGATCAGCTGCTGAAAGCTGAAAATGACGAACTTTGTCGAAGATTTGAAGAACCGGAATGGTACAATTGGAACCGGTCAAGCACATCGACAGATGACAATCCTGTCCAGCCACAGGGTAATCAAGGAGCACAGCAACATCCTATACACAGGAGCAATCCTCTCAGAAACAGGAGGCCGCCTGACAGATTAAATTTATAGTGATATTGATAATGAACATTGAATTGAGGGTTAATTGTAAATGTGTTAATTTGGTGACATTGTTCATTTCTTCCTAAGGGGAGAGGGGTGTTGTGTATTTACGTCATAGCTTGTTGTTTTTAACACAGACTAGATTTGTGATTATGATGTCATAATTGTTTTCTCTTAATTGCTCCTTGCTTTTACCTGTCTGCGTGCTTGTTATTCTTTCTTGTGTTTGAACTGTCTAGCGTTAAGCTGCGATATACTGACGTCTTACTTTGCCGTATAATAAACTGCAATATTTCTGTCTACTGGTGATTTGGTAATACCCAAGACATCACAATAAGTAATATAAAATTCAGAATGAGCTGCTTTAGGTATGTCATATTTGATAAAGCAATTATTCACGACTGTAAGTGCTTCCATTACTTTCAATCCTAAACTTTTTATACAATTCATGTTCTGTTCGGTGTTCTGCATTGCACCTGATTTATCATATATGTTTTTCTCAATATATTTCATATGGTTACGTTTACACATTAATTTTCGCATTTCACTAATATTGAAATCTATACAAATCAACTTTCTGTAAATTGTCGTTTTCTGTATGGATATGAATAATCACCTCCAAAGGTTTTAAAAATGTATTACATTTACATAAAAAACCTTACAAAGTATTACAGTTATTGTTAAGCGTTCGAGGACCACGAGTTTGTGACACCCTGGTAGACCATGCTGAAAATGCATCCAAATGCTATGCAGGCTGCAACCCAGATCATCCAGTCAGCAAATTCCACATGCAGGAGGGCATGTCCCAAACACTAGCGGGCTCATTCTGTTTCCTAATTTTCAATTGTAACTTTCTTGTTATGACATGATTTGTATTTAATAAAGGGTGAAATTGCATTTTCCACATAGCTGCTTTTCCCCTCCATATAGTTGCATTCTTTTGCAGTTTATTACGCTTACTCTAGTCTTCAAAGTATTTCATTCCATAGCTCTTAGGTATGTAACCCTTCTCCTCTGGAAAGTTTACCTCCCAAATATCAGGCAAATCGTGCTTCGGTGTACTCACGCATACAGTACCGGTACCATCACTTTTGAAGTGGCTCTGTCTGATTTTTGTGGAAGTATACTGTGTAACGAAACAGCTCCGATGTATAAAAAATATACAAGCTAGTCTGTATTCAATCTATAATAAGAAAAAGACTGTTAAATCAACGCTAACACACAAGTTATACACAGCCAAAGCACACAAAACAATCGCGCAAACTGATGCACCGTTCTCTGCAACGAGCGTCCCCTCAAACAGCAGAAAAAACGTTGCTGGCAGCATCGGTCAAAGGTCATGAAAGTTGGTAATTATTTAAGAAATGGTTATTGCACCTAAGCGCCGAAGAACATGCTGTTGGGCTGATCTGAACGTGAGAGAGAACTGCTAGCCTCCCCGCTGTCGCGGCCTAATGT